AAGTGCAAAAACCTAGAGTCTAGGGCTAATGAGAGTGAGAGTAAAAATGCTGAGTTGAAGAACTAGGTTCTTGAACTTGACGCCAGTATCCTAGAACTTAGGTCTAAGAACTTAAAACTGAAACTAAGAACAGGTAAGAAGAAAGCTGACCACACACATCTCACTCTAGAAGAAAACTTGGGAAAAATGAAAAATGCATTGTACAGGAAGGATGAGCAGATAAAAGTCTTAAAAAAAGATCTAGGGAAGGTAAAACATGAACTAGATAGAACTTGCAAATGGAACAAGGCTTCTGATGCACTTTCCTGGCTATAAGAACAATACAGTAGCAACAAAAGAGGACTTGGCTATGGAACTCACGCACCTAAGTGGGATCTTAAAAGCAAGTATCTCACTATTCCTGAAAACAAAATCTGCACACACTGTGGTAAGACTGACCACTACAAAAATGAATGTAATGCAAAAGAAAAGGCCAGTCAAAAGAATAAAACTTTTGTTCAAGAGAAAATAGGCTGCTTGGGTGGGCTAAAAGGAGTTTGATTTATCCCTTTGCCTATAGAAAGGGACCCAAACTAGTTTGGGTTCCTAAGACTAACCCTTGATTTCGTTTTGCAGGTCCAAGTGAAGGGAAGTAGCCAAATATGGTACATGGATAGTGGCTGCTCAATACATATGACTGGAAGCAAGAACGAGTTCCTTTCACTTGAGGACCTAAATGGAGGTAATGTCTCCTTTGGAAATAGGAAGAAAGGTGAGATTATTGGGGTTGGAAAGGTAGGTAAGACAGATTCTCACTCCATTAAGAATGTCTACATGATAGATGGCTTGAAATACAGCTTGATCAGTGTGTCACAACTGTGTGACAGAGGTAACCTTATAGCATTTACCTCTACTAAATGCTTTGTGATTAACCTTACCACTGACAAGATGGTTTTGCAGGGAAAAAGAGTTAACAATTTTTACATAGTAGAGTTGTCTACTCTTTTAGAAAATGAACTCACCTGTCTAAGTCTGTTGGATAATGATCCCCTCCTGTGGCACAAAAGACTTGGTCATGCTAGTTTGAATTAGCTAAACAAATTAGTCTCTAAGGACTTGGTGATAGGGTTACCTAACATCAAGTTCAAAGAAGACAAAGTTTGTGAGGCCTGTGCAAGGGGGAAGCAGGTAAGATCATCCTTCAAAAGCAAGAAAATGGTAAGCACAACCAAG